TGAGAACATCTTGTCAAAAACTCAAAATGTCTCTTGAAATTTTGATAGAATTTTCAGTGACTCTACGTTATTTTGGAGAGAACGAGTACCTTAGAAATGCTGAATTTCCTAGTCTACAAGCACAGTGTCTCTCTCCCATGGTTTAGGCCTTCTCTAGTCTCTCTCAGCAAAATTTTTCAGTCTTCTTTCTGAAAAATCTTCTGTGTTTTTAATTATTTTGATTCCTTACCACTTGATTCATTAATTGATTATTTGATGTTTTTAATGATATTTTAAAAAAAAATTTATTTTCCAGGAATTCTCTGGCAGTCCAGTGGTCAGAACTCTGGCATGGCCTGGGTTCAGTCCCTAACTGGGGAACTAAGACCCTCTAGCCATGCAGAGCGGCCAAAAAAAAAAAAAAAAATTTTTTTTTTCCTCAATGCTTCAGTACTAGCATATAGAAATATGGTTGATTTTTCTGAATTGACCCTTTATCCCTCAACTCTGCTGAATTTACTCAGTAGTTCTAGAAGCTACTTTTGACATTTTAAAAGGATTTTCTACCCCTAGGCTCATGGTGTCCTTTTACCCCTGTATGCCTTTTATTTGTTTTTCTTGACTTCCTGCCGTGGCTAGGCCCTCCAGGACAAGGTTAAATGGAGACAGTAAGAGTGGGCATTCTGACATTCTTCCTGCCCTTGGAGGCAGAGTTCAGCTTTTCACCATTATTCATGACTTTAGCTATAGGTTTTATATAGACATTCACATCAATTTGCTTAAGTTCCATTCCATTCCCACTTTGCTGAGCATTCCTTTTTATTATCAGCTCAGTTGGTAAAGAATCTGCCTGTAGCACAAGAGACCTGGGTTCGATCCCTGGGTTGGGAAGATCCCCTGGAGAAGGAAATGGCAACCCACTCCAATATCCTTGCCTGGAAAATCCCATGGACACAGGATCCTGGTGGGCTGCAGTCTATGGGGTTGCAAAGAGTCGGGCATGACTGAGTGACTAACACTTACTCATTAATATTTTGAAAAAGATCTTTATTCGCTTTACACAACAGTAACAATTATATATCATACATTGCGTGCATGTATCCTCAGTTGCTCAGTCATCCAGCTCTTTGTGACCTCATGGATTGTAGCCTGCCAGGCTCCGCTGTCCATAGAATTTTCCAGGCAAGAATACTGAAGTGGGTTGCCATTTCCTCCTCCAGGGTTGCTGAGAATCCTTACCATGAATGGCGCTGAATTTTGTCAAGTGCTTTGGCTGCATCTACTGAGGTGGTCACGTGGATTTTCTTGGTTACTCTGCTAAAACAGTGCATTATGCTGATTGATTTTGGGGTGTTGAGCCAGCCTTGCCTTCCCGGGATAAACTCCCCATGGTTACCGTGTGTTCTCCTCTTTACATTTTGCTTGATTGCATTTACTAATATTTTGTTAAAAGATTTTTATGTTCTTATGAGGGATATTGGTCCATGATTTTTTTTCTTGTGATATTTTGTCTGATTTTGATTTCATAAAGTCAATTTTATGAGGTGGCCTCATAAAATCTTGGAGAAGGAAATGGCAACCAACTCCAGTATTCTTGCCTGGAAAATCTCATGGAGGAAGGAGCCTCGTAGGCGACAGTCCATGGGGTCGCACAGAGTCGGACACAACTGAGCAACTTCACTTCACTCATAAAATCTTATTTTCTGGAACAGTCTGTGTAGAAAAATGTCTTCCCCAAATGTTTGGTTGCATGTGCCAATGAAATCGTGTGGGCCAGGAGCTTTCTTTGTGGCAGAATTTAAATTACAAATGGAATTTCTTGAGTAGATACAGGGCTGTTGTGCAGTCACTAAGTCATGTCCGACTCTGGGACCCCATGGACTGCAGCACACCAGGCTCTTCTCTCCTCCACCGTCTTCCGGAATTTGTTCAGACTCACGTCCACTGAGCTGGTGATGCTGTCTAACCTTTTCATCCTCTGCCAGCCCCTTCTCCTTTGGCCTTCAGTCTTCCCTATCATCAGGGTCTTTTCCAGTGAGTTGACTCTTCAAATCAAGTGGCCCAAGTCTTGGAGCTTCAGCTTCAGCATCAGTCATTTCAATGAATATTCAGGGTGGATTTCCTTTAGGATTGACTGGTTTGATCTGCAGTCCAAGAGACTCTTAAGCGTCTTCTCCAGCACCACAGTTCAAAAGCATCAATTCTTCAGGGCTCAGCCTTCTTTATGGTCCAACTCTCACATCCGTACATGACTACTGGAAAAACCATAACTTTGACTACACAGACCTTTATCTGCAAAGTGACGTCTCTGCTTTTTAACACGCTGTCTAGGTTTGTCGTAGCTTTCCTTTCAAGGAGCAAGCGTCTTTTAATTTCATGACTGCAGTCACCAGTGATTCTGGAGCCCAAGAAAATAAAATCTCTCACTGCTTCCACTTTTTCCCATCTATTTGCCATGAAGTGATGGGACCAGATGCCATGATCTTAGTTTTTTGAATGTTGAGTTTTAAGCCAGCTTTTTCACTCTCTTCTTTCACCCTTATCAAGAGGCTATTTAGTTCTTCAATTTCTGTCATTAGAGTGATATCATCTGCATATCTGAGGCTGTTAATATTCCTGCTGACAATCTTGATTCCAGCTTGTGTTTCATCCAAGGCTATTCTGATTATATATTTCTTGTGCCTGTTTTGATCACTCGTGTCTTTCAAGGAACTTTACCATTTCATCTAAATTGTTTGGTTTTTGATCATCAATTGATAATGTTGAAATATTATTCTTGCAATGCCTTAAAGGTATGAGGTGATACCTCCTCTTTCACTCCTGATATTGTTGCCGAAAGGTATGTGTGGGGGGTCTGGCTGCTCACCACTCAAAAACCAATCAGCAGTCCAGGTTGGTGGAAAGGAAAGTTTGTTTTATTTCAGATGCTGGCAACTGGGGGAGTAGGGTGGCCGACATCTGTCCAAAGGCTGACCCCTGCCCCTGACAAGCAGTGGGTGAGAGCTTTTACAGACAGATTTTTGGTGGGGGGAGGTTACATGCAGAAACAGCACAAACATCCCTAACAGTGATCTTCAAAGTGGTCATCAGCGGTCTGGCTAGCATCATCTTGGTTGTTTTAGGTACAGTTAATCTTCAATTCTGGGGTGCACTCGTTCCCATTTCTTTGCAGTCAGTTCTCAGAATTGTGGCAGCTCTTATCGTGGGCAGAGTCTGGTCATAATGTAGTTAACTTCTGCACCTGGGATTTTGATATCTATAAGACAGCTCATAGGATACGGCTCAGAATATTATCTATAGCCCCTGAGCGAGAACTAAAGGCCCTTGAGTATGCCTAATGACTACATTACTTATTATTTCATCTCTTTTGACTGTTTTCCTTTGTTTTAGCATTTCTCACTTATCTGATTAAACTTATTCTTGGACTAAAGTTTTCCGCAGGCAAAAGGCAGGCAGGGGACACGCTGGGGGGGGGGGGCGGGCAAGGACCACACGGCCCTGCTCCGATTCGATACGCGTCATTTGTCTCTTCCTTTCCTTCCCTTTTGTTTTTGTTTTGCTTGCCCCACGAGGCATTCAGGATCTTAGTTCACCGTCCTCCCCGTAGTGGAAGCATGGAGGCTTAATCCCTGGGCCACCAGGGAAGTCCGCCTTTTATTTTTCTTGATCTGATCAACTGGAAATGTATCCATTTTATTGATCTTTTCAAATAACCAGTTTTGGGTTTCACTGATTTTCTCCCTTGTTTGTACGTTTTCTATTTCATCCACATCTGCTCTTATCTTTATTATTTCTCCCATTTCTTTGGTTAGTTCCTCTTCCACAGTCCTTGGCAGGGCCTGGCAACTCTGCCCAGATGCCAGGAAGGGCAGGTCTGTGCTGGGACACGTGTCCTGACTTTGCACCTGGCTTTCTTGGGAGAAAAAGGACTCCCCTGGTGGCTCAGCTGGTGAAGAATCCGCCCGCAATGGGGAGGCCTGGGTTTGACCCCTGGGTCGGGAAGATCCCCTGGAGAAGGGATAGGCTACCCACTCCAGTGTTCCGGCCTGGAGAATCCCATGGACTGTGTAGTCCACGGGGTCGCAGAGAGTCAGACACGACTGAGCGACTTTCGCTTCCCTCACTTCTCAGGAGAGGGCTCTTGCCGGCCCTTCCCGCTGCACTTGGGAGGGGCGGGGGACCGTCAGGTCTGCAAGCCCAGGGCTCCAAGGACCAGACCCAGACTGTCCCTGGGGATCTGGGGGGCAGAGCAAGGGTTCCGTGGGTCACCAGGTCCTGCCCTCACCCCGGCCGCACGGTCCCCGTGCCCTGCAGCGGCCGAGCGTCCTGCCGGACTGAGTCGGTGGACGAACGGGCTTCACGCGGTGCCTCCCGCTGCCACAGGAGGGCAGTGTGCCCTCAGGAACGGCCAGGGTGCGTGCGTGCGTGTGCGTGCGTGTGCGTGCGTGCGTGAGTGCGTGTGCGCGTGAGTGCGCGTGCGCGTGCGTGAGTGTGTGTGTGCTGGGGGGCGGCGTGCCAGCACGAACCCGAGGTCTCACGGGATTTCCCGGGCCCCGCATCTAAGCCCGCTCCCCTCCCGGGCCCCCTCCGGCGCTGGCCGAGCACAGAGAGCCCCGCCAGCGTCCGCGTGGGCCGGCAGGTGGCGCCAGGACCTCGAGGACCAGCCGCGGGGCAGGCGTGCGGTGGGAGGGGCGGGAGGAGGTGCCTCTGCTGGGGGAGGCCTGAGATTGCCCGGCAGGGCTGGAGAGACCGCCTGAGCGAGCCCCGGACGATCGCCCGCAATGCAGGGGGGGCCCTCCCAAGCCTCACTGCGGTGGGGGTCCTAGGGGAGGTCGGGGTGGGGGCAGGGCCTGGAGCCGGGGGTGACGGGGTGAGCTCATGAGCTGTGGTGGTTCTGCAGGTTTAGGCAGAGGACCTGGCCTTCCCTGGGGTCCCCGTGGGCAGAAGGCAGCGGTGGGAAATCCCTGCCCAGCAGGGGGCAGTGGGGGAGGGCAGCTGGGAGGGGTCTGGGGGCTCCCCCATCAGCCGGCCAGCCCCTTTGGGCCGCAGGATGGGCTGGAGCTTTGGCCCTGCAGGAGGGCCTGTGGCGGGGCCTGCGCCTGAGGCAGCTGACCCTTCTCCTCCTCTGCTGGGCTGGACCCTCGGGGTGGAATGCCCTCAGGCCTCTGGTCTGTCTCAGCAACGCACACCCCCGCCTGTCCTCTCCCCAGCGGTGGCCTTTCTGCAGTGCCAAGGTGGGCGGGGTGGGGTGTGCCAGGGTTAGACTGGCCCCCCCGCCCGCACAAATCAAAGCAGCGGCATACGGTCAGCAGGGCCTCTGTTTGCCGAGAGAGGGCTGGGAGGCTGTGGAGGCCCCATCCCAGGGCCTGGCCTGGCCCAGCCCAGTCTCCAGGGCCGCTCCCGCAGGACAAGGGCAGCCCCCAAACAGACGGCCTTGAGCCAGGCACAGCGCCCACGCCTCCCAGGTCTCTCGAGCACATCCGGGTGGGCACGGAGCCGGCCCCCATCCGCCCGTCTCTACCCGCAGTGTGGGCCACAGAGGAGGGCCGCAGACATGCGCCCGCTGAGAGACGGGGCGGTGGGTCCCCGGTCCCCTCCCCGCCTCTGCCCCTCTCCCCTCTCAGGTGCCAGGCTAGGGGGAGGCTGCCCTGGTTTCTCGCCTGCAGATGGTGAGAGGGCGGCGCAGGGCCTCGTTCCCCTGGCAGCCATGCTGGTCAGGGGCTCTCCTGGGGCTCACAGGTCAGGGGGCTGCAGCCTCTAGGCCCGGGCTGTCCTGTCTCAGGGTCCTTGAGGAGCCGCTGGGTGCTGGGCCCCCCGAGTCCCCAGGAGGGTGACAGGCACTGTCCGGGCCAGCGAAGGGAGGAGGGAAGAGAGAGCAGTAGGTCTCGTGGCCCGATTGACCATGAGGGGTGGGGAGAGGGTGGGGAGGTGCTGGCGGGCAGGCGGGGGCCCCGGGCAAGTGGTCCCAGGCCGGAAGCAGGGCAGAGAGTGGGCAGAGCCCTGGAGCTGGGAGGCCGCAGTGGAGAGGGGCAGAGGGAGACCCCACCCCATTCCACCCCACCCCACCCCACTCTATTCCCTCCTGGAGGGCAAAGCCCCTCCATCAGGATGACACCCCTTCCCTACAGGTCCTTCACATGGCCTTCAGGAACCTCCCTGGAGACCATCTGATCTGGGTGGAAGCCTCCAGGTCTCTCCCTCACCAGCAGCCAGCCAGCCCTTTACCAGCAGGGACCCCTGCCTCACCCCCACACGGGCAGCAGCATCTCCCCCCTTTCGAGACTGCAGCTTCAGCCCCCCCATGCCCCACCCTCACCCCAGCCCACCAGTCCAGCAGCCTCTGAAACAGACAATCTTGCCACACCTGCTTAAACCTCCTGGAGTCCCTCCTGGCGCCCTGAACCCGCCCCAGCCCCACTGAGATGGGGGCCTCCCTGGCCTCCGTCCGTCCAGCGGACGCCTTGCTGGCTCCATCCACCTCCAGGAGCCTGGGCTCTTCCTGCCTCTTTCCCCAGCCCCTCCTCTCCGGGCTGGTACCGCCTGTGCCCAATTCTGGGCTCTGGTGTCACATCTGAGCCGCGTGTCTGACCCCTCCAGCCCAAGTCAGGTCCCTCCTCTGGGCTCCTGAATTCAGAGGCAGACTCCCCCTTCAGACCCAGACACCAGGACCCAGGACACCTTCGGGGGCTCAGGGAAGTATTTTAATGTCTTTTAAAGTCAGGAGAAAAACACTGAATTTTTAAGAAAATGCTTTCATGTATCAGTATATCTGTCTCTGCGTGCATGCGTGCTAAGTTGCTCAGTCGTGTCTGACTTTGTGACCCCATGGACTGGAGCCAGCCAGGTTCCTCGGTCCATGGGATTCTCCAGGCAAGGGTACTGGAGTGGGTTGCCATGCCCCCCTCCAGGGCTTGGGAGCCACAGGAGGCCCCGTAAACTGGATGATGAGGATGACTAAACCCCAATAAACCAGAAAGGAAAAGGGCCCTCCCTAGAAGCAGCCAGGGAGGGAAGGGGTGCCAGCCTGCTGAGCCCGCCGGCCAGCCAGCAGCCCCTTAGGCCTGGGTGGGGGGGTGTGCCAGCCTTTGGGTGAGGTGGGGTGATGGCCCAACGGGGCCCAGTCTGGAGACTGGGTGTGGGACCCACGAGCACCGCGTTTAGTAGCTGGAAACTGGGGCCCCCAGGTCGCACACTGCCCAGGCGCATGGAACTTTCGCGTTTCTTCACCACCAGGCTGCACTGTCTGCTTCAGGCAGAGCCTGGGGACCCAGGGGGGCCCTGACTTGAGGCTGTGCTGCTCCCAGTCCCTCTCCAAGAGGACTTTCCCACATCCCAGGTGTGGACTGGGATGGCGTGGGGGGCGGCCGCATCCCTCGGTGCGGGGAGGTGGGGGTTGGGGGTTGCCCAGCTGTCTCTCGGGCTTTCCTATGAGAAAAGTCCCCTCCGGCCACACCCGCGTGTGTCGCTATCGTAAGCCAAACTCAGAGCCGGGGAATGTCAACAGCGCAGGCACAGCACCTGGCTTGTGGTGCCGGCGGGAGACCCCTCCGCGCTGGGAAGCTCTGTGCTATTTATAACCCCCGGGAGAAGCAGGACAAATACTGCAGTCCCTCCCCACGGCCCTGAGACCTCCAGTCCATGTTTGAACTCTCGATGGGCAAACAGGTGGCGATAAGGCGCTGAGATTAGAGCTCGGAATACACGCAGCTTCCTTCCCTCCAAGCTCAGAGTCCCAGCGTCGGACCCTGGGAGGCTCAGGGAGCCCGAGTCGGTGGCCACAGGGATCCGAGAGGCCAGGCCCTCCTCCCCTGCCCCCGGGGGCCCAGATCGGGCTCTGACTCCCCAGCTCTGAGGCCCCAGTCTCTCCTCCCACACCACCTCCCTCCCCAAAGCTCCCCCACCCCCTCGAAGACACCCCCAGCCCACAGGAGGGAGTTGTTGTCAGAGTCAGGCTGAGGTCAGGCTCCAGCAAATGGCCGGACTGAGCTTTGGGTCAGACTGACTCGGATCCCGTGTTTGGGAATCGCTGACCCTGTGTTGCCGGGTTCCCTGTCCACAAAGCGGGGTGGGCGTGTTCCTCCTTCCAGATGGTGGAGGTGACCTTCTGGTAAACACGCTGGAGGTGACATGGGTCCCACCAGGCTGACCAGGCCTCCCGCCTCCACACCAGCCCACCTTTGCCCCCCAGGTGCCCCCAGGCCGGCAGCTCTCCCTCCCGCCTCCGCTCTCGCTGCTGTGCATCCCTTTGGAGGCAGGACAGGAAGGGACACGATATTCAGCAGAATGGACCGTCCCCTTCCTCATCCTGGTGGTTGGCCTCTGCTAATGCAACCCAGGGAGGTCCCGGTGTGAAGCTGAGCATGCAAAGGGGTGGGCAGAGCTGGGATTTGAGATCAGCAGACATGAGACTGGTCTGTCTGGAGCAGATCAGTCCGCGCCTGCATCAGAAGCCTGTATGCCTGGGATCAGGGGTCAGTCTGCACCTGGGTCAGGGTTCCAGTCTATACCCGGCAGTAGAGATCAGTCTATGACCTGGGTCAGGACTGAGTTTGGTTTGGGGTCAGGGCAAGGTCCGAGGGATGAGACCTGTTACTGGGATCAGAAGCTGGTCAGTGGCCCCCGTCAGGGGTGTCTGTGGCTGGGTTCGGGGCTCGGGGTGTGACTGCGCCCGAGGCTCAGCCAGCCGGGGCCACAGCTCCATCTCCACGGCTGCGTCTGCCCCCAGGGGCTCGTCTGCTCCCCAGCAGCTGAACTCTGCTTCCTCTTTGGATCAGACCGGCCTTGGCCGGCACCCAGCCGCTGATTCCCGGGGGAAGAAGCCCTGTTCCCGCCAGTCACATTCCCACGCCTGCCTGGGGGGTTGCCAGAGAGCGGCCGGGTGTCGAGGGGCTGCCTCCTGGGAGACCGGCCTATCACCCTCCCCAGCCTCCGACAGCAGCCCATGATCACAGGAGGAGCTCGTCCACTGGGGGCCCCTTCCTGAGAGCCAGGTGCCCCATGCCCTCCTTCCTGCCCAGCCAGAGGCCTGCAGGCTAAGGCCAGGCAGGCCCAGCGCCTCCCAGGGCCCAGCGTGGCTCGTGAACCAAGGGCCTGCACCCGCCCTGGCTTCCGGTTCCCTGTGTGACAACAGAACAGAGGAGGGGTCTGTCCAGGTTGCCCCCTCCAGCCTGTCCTGTGTCCCACTCTGCTCCCCACCCCCATCCGGCTGCGGAGGATCTGAAAGGCCAGGGACGCGTGCAGTCCTGGGCGCCACCCTCCTTGGGGCTGCCGCTAGCCTGCACAGCAGGTGCCCAGAGAAGCCTGTTGTCTTTTAAGCCACAGGCCCGTTCTAGGACCTCGTGGGTTGAGGATACCCAGGGGCCAGCCCGAGCTCAAGTGAGATGGATTTGCTCGGGGGTCAGGGCCTGGCACCTGAGGATTAGCTCCTGAAGGGATTGGAGGGAAACCCTCCTCCCCGCTCTCAGCCAGAGAGTGAGCCCCTCCAATTCTGGCCGGAGAAACCCGAGATCTTGTCCTGGGGTTGAGGAGGTCTGGGAATCGGGGCCACTGGCCTCTGTCCCACAGCCCACTGGCCTCAGGGGCCCTTAGGAACTTCTGACCTGATGCCTTGAAGGCACAGCCTTGGCGCTGCAGGGCCCGAAATCCCACAGTGTGGACTTCCTATTGGAGCCTCCCGGGGGCCCTGGGTAGCTGTGCCGTCACCCCATTCTGCAGAGGGGAAAAGTGAGGTCACACGCTGACCTCACCCCGGGCTCTGACATCGTGCTGAGCGCCGTGCATGCACACAGGTGTCCCAGCTCACTTTTTTGGATGAGCTGGATACCCCACCTCAAAGCGGGGGAAACGGGACAAGAGAGGGGCAGGGCCTTGGCCCCCGGCCCTGGTTCCCACTCAAAGAAAGGTGGGAACCTGCCTCCCCCTACCCACCCATGCTCTCCGCCCTCCCCGGCGGGGGGTGGGTGCCAAGGTGGGCAGACGGGCTGGGACACGTGCCAGGCGTGGGCTGGGCCTCCTGCAGCTGCTCAGCCGGTGTTGCAACCCGGCGTCCCTCCGCTCCAGGCCGTGTCTTGACTTGCAGCGGCCCCTGCCTCCAGGCCCCAAGGAAGGCCTCGCCCACCTTCCTGGGATCGGGGTGACAAGTCCCAGCATGGCAGGGTCTGCTGTGCCAGCTCCGAGCGTGAGAAAACGCTGAGCCGAGGAGGAAGGTGTGGCAGGTGGGGGTGTGAGTGCCAGCTGGTGTCCACCCTGCTGGCGCCCGAGAGAAGGCCAGGCCAGGCCAGCCGGGGCTGCTTCCCTGGCCCTTCCTGGACTGGCCTGGAGGCCACGCCCAGCTCCGGCCCCTCCAGCGCGGACCCCCTGCCACAGCTCCCTCCACCCCATCGACTCCGCCCCCCCCCCCCAAGCAGTGCGCAGCTGCACGCAGCTGGAGGCCACGGTTGTCTCCTGCAGGAGGTTCAGCAGGGCAGTCGGGCCATGTGGCCTGCGGGGGTCTGCAGAGGCGGGCTGTCAGAGCACATCCCTCCCAGCGGGGTTGCTGAAACCCGAGCTGTGCTGGCCCTTGGGGACGGCTGTGGAGGCCTGAGAGGCTGCTGCTCCCCAGCGTGGGGGAAGACAGGAGAGCCCCCAACCCCAGAGGGCCCTTGAGCCCTTTGGCTCATGGAAGTCTGGTTTCTGGGTCCCTGCTTCACTGGAAAGAAGCAGAGAGGAAGACAGTTGGGGCCCAGAGCCAGGAGGGTGTGGGCGGGCGCCTCCCTGAACCCTGACTCCCAAGGGGGCGTGAGCCAGCCAGGGGGCAGCGCTGCTGTCCTTGGAGCCGCCAGCTGCAGTGGGCCTTGCCCGGGCATGTGCCACCCTCGACTCCCGGAGCTGCCTTGGTGGGAATGGGTTGGGGGAGAATGGACCACCTAGCGCCGTCAGTGGGCCTGGAAACCCCAGTGAGCCTCCAGAGTCTCCTGGGTTTCAGATGTCCCGAGGGCCCAGCCAGGCCCCACAAAGAGCCATCACGACCCCCTCAAGGCTGGGGGAGATACAGGCTCTTCTCAGGAGCCCTGGGGGTGGCCCTTGAATGCCAGTGCTACTTGGAGTGGGCAGTGGGTGGTGGGCAGTGGGCAGCCACAGGAGCAGAGATGCAGGAGGGAGGGACACTGAGCTCGCTGGCCCTGGCCCTGGACTGTGCCCCTGACCAGAGGCTCCCCGGGCCCTCTGCTCCCTACATCCCAGCTCCCCTCTCAGCCCCAGGCCTTGGTCCCCTCCCCAGCAAAACCTGGTGCCCAGGCCCTCCCGCTCTGCTGCCTCCTCCAAACATCTGTGAGATGCACAGTGACAGAGCCCGCAGACCAAGAGGCCAGGACACGGGGAGGGAAAGATATCTCAGGGACCAGGAGGTGGCGGCACGGGGTGACTGAGGCGCCGACAGGGAGAGCGGAGGCAGCAGGAGCACGGAGCTCAGGGCGGAGCTGAGACTCAGGCTGAGAGCCACGGGGGGCGGGGTGGGGGCAGAGAAGTCCAGCTTCATCCCTTGGGGTGGGGAGCGGGGGGCGCATCGCTCCAGGTTTAAGCCAGCTCTTGAGAAGGGGTTCTGATTCAAGGTTTAGAAAGATGCCTGGTGTACGCAGGGCCACTGCCCTGATGGCTTCCGGCCTCTTGCACAGTGCCCAACCTGCACACTCATGCAGGGCGACCCTGCCAGCTTCCGTGTGGACAGCAGCTGGAGGGGCCTGGGCCTCATGCAGAGAGGGGATTGCCTGCCTCCAGGAGGCTTCTGGCTGCCAGGCCAACCCCCCTCCTCCACTGAACCCACTGTGAGAACCCCGCTCCAGCAGCACCACCATGGAGAGGAGGCCCACGGCTTGTTTATCCCTTGTCACCGCGGCGCCTTCGCCATCTGCTGCGGAGGAAGGAAGGCCCCTGTCACCGGCCCCACCTGTGGGGGCCACTGCTGGGAATAGGAAGCCAGGGTACCAGGTCACCTGCCCACCTACCCACCTGCTCTGGCCTGCCCCACCCCCACCACCCAAGAGGAGCAGGGGGGTGGGGGGATGGAGGCTGGGCTTGAGGTTGGAGGGTCCTGGGGTGTCCAGTGCCCCCTCACCAGTCAGACCTGCTGCTTCTCTGCAGCTCTGATCGCTCAGGTCCTGGAGAAGCTCCCCGAGACGGGATGTGCCTGCCCAGCACCCAGCACCTCCCCAAGGCGTTCAGTGTCCCTCTCCCACAGGCTGCACGGAACCCCTTCTCCCAGGAGACAGGGGGGCTTCCTGGGGCAGCCCCTGGCCTAGGGGAGGGGCTCCCTGCCCCTCTCGCAGGGGAGCAGCAAGCATGTCCCAGCCCCAGGATCTGACGAGGGTCCCGGGGAGAGGCCCATGCCCACGTGGGCACGCTGAGGGGCTGGCTCTGGGTGGACTCGCCCCAGGCTGCCAGAGGGTCAGGGGCTGGCTTCGTCCGCCGTCCTGGCCGGCTGGCGGGATGGAGGCCTTTGTGGAGGTCCCGTCTCAGAGCCCCTTTGGCTGGGAGGCAGTGCCCATCCTGCCCCGTGGAGAACCTGCGGGCAGGACCACAGCTTCTCCATGGGGCCTCAGACTGGCTGCCTGCCACAGAGAGGAGCCGAACGACACAGGCAGCGGGGGCACGTCGGGGCCTGAGCCTGGGATTGGGTTTCTGTGCAGCCCTCACCGCGTGTTGCAAGAGTGGGCAGGAAGACGGGCCCCGGGCGCCGGGTGGGTCTGGGCTGGGGGCCCTGGAAGGACCTTCGCGTGGGAAGAGGGGCTTTGTGTATCCCGTTCTTCCAGGCGCTGTCCGCTCTCATGAGCCCCTGGCGCCCCGGGAGGGCGGGGCAGGTGTCTCCTTCCCCTGCCTGGGTCAGGAGTCATGCGCTGGGCCTGGCACCGGGGAGGCCCTGCCTGGGGTGCTGGGCTCTGGCCAACAGGTCCCTGGCAGAGCTGGGCTGCCCTAGGAGCCCCGGGTTGGGGCAGGCACACCCCTTCCATCCTGAAGCCCCCAGCCAGGCCCGCAGACGCTGTGGCCTGTCCCGGGAAGAGGGTCCTTGGGGCAGGAAGCTGGGAACGTGAGCCCCAGTCTGGGGTCTTGCTCAACATACCTGGGCCCCGGGCAGCCCAGCCCTGGGCCTTCTCTGTAGTGGGACACGCAACTCATCCCCCTGCAGTGAGCGCTGGGCTGAGCTGCCCCACTGAGGCCGGACCGCCTTTCCAAGGGCCCACCTCCCTTTGCTGTGGCCTGGCCTGGCCTGGCGGATCTTCCCTCCCCAGCTGGGAGCTGGCCCCCTGGCCTTATTCCCAGCGTCTATCTCTGCTCTGGGCAATTATCTTGGGCTGGGCGAGGCTGCCCCAGATAGCGGGTACTGGGCGGGCTGGAAACGCTTCAGGCACCCCACCCCCATGCCTAGCCTGGGTCTGGTGAGGTCAGGATCTCCGTGGCCCCTGATAACCTGCCTGGCCGGGCTCTGGGCTCTGTATCTAGCGTCCTGTCGGGGGAGCCGAGATAACCAGGGTCCAGCCGGCCCCTCCCAAGCCCAGATCTGACCTGCCCTGGGTCTAGGAGTCCTGGGAGAGGGCCTGCAGGCCCCGTCTTATCCTCTAGGGCTGTCCTCTGGGGGGCTGTTGCTGCTAGGGGGCGCCGGCGACATCGTAACCCCAGCCTCCTCCTCCCAGCCCTGTGCTGGGCAAAGCTGGGGGGAAGTCCCGCCAGCCAGGAGCTGTGGGAGGAGCCGGCGTGAGGTCACCACATTGTCGCTCCTGTGCCCTGCTGGGCCAGCTTCCTGGCACACGCTGGGCTGGGCCAGGCCTGGGCCCGTCTCCTGCTGCCCTGGCCTGGGCCCCCGTGGCTTGCAGGGACCTCTCTCGGCTTCTCCCCTGCACGGTTCCCCCAGAGCCTCCCAGCCCACCTCGGGCTCTCCTCTCAGCAAGGAGCCCCGAGGGCCCTCCCAGACTGAAGCCTCGGGCCTCCTCTCGGGGGGCTCCCAGCCAGCGAGTAGACCCCAGCATGACCCCCGAGAGGACCCCTCATGGCCCCCGACATCAACCCTGAATGATGACCTCTTAACGACCTCTTCATGACCCCCGAGTGGACCCCTTCATGGGCCCCGTCATGACCCCTAAGTGGACCCCACCATGACCCCCAAGTGGACCCCACCATGACCCCCGAGTGGACCCCTTCATGGCGCTGTCATGACCACTTCATGGCCCCACCATGACCCCCGAGTGGACCCCTTCCTGGCCCCGTCATGACCCCCAAGTGGACCCCACCATGACCCCCGAGTGGACTCCACCATGACCCCCAAGTGGACCCCTTCATGGCCCCGTCATGACCCCTAAGTGGACCCCACCATGACCCCCGAGTGGACCCCTTCCTGGCCCCATCATGACCCCTTCCTGGCCCCATCATGACCCCCGAGTGGACCCCACCATGACCCCCGAGTGGACCCTTTCCTGACCCCATCATGACCCCTTCCTGGCCCCGTCATGACCCCCGAGTGGACCCCACCATGACCCCCGAGTGGACCCCTTCCTGGCCCCATCATGACCCCTTCCTGGCCCCACCATGACCCCCGAGTGGACCCCTTCATGGCCCCGTCATGACCCCTAAGTGGACCCCACCATGACCCCCGAGTGGACCCCTTCATGGCCCCGTCATGACCCCTAAGTGGACCCCACCATGACCCCCAAGTGGACCCCTTCATGGCCCCGTCATGACCCCTAAGTGGACCCCACCATGACCCCCGAGTGGACCCCTTCCTGGCCCCGTCATGACCCCCAAGTGGACCCCACCATGACCCCCGAGTGGACTCCACCATGACCCCCAAGTGGACCCCTTCATGGCCCCGTCATGACCCCTAAGTGGACCCCACCATGACCCCCGAGTGGACCCCTTCCTGGCCCCGTCATGACCCCCAAGTGGACCCCACCATGACCCCCGAGTGGACTCCACCATGACCCCCAAGTGGACCCCTTCATGGCCCCGTCATGACCCCTAAGTGGACCCCACCATGACCCCCGAGTGGACCCCTTCCTGGCCCCATCATGACCCCTTCCTGGCCCCATCATGACCCCCGAGTGGACCCCACCATGACCACTGAGCGGACCCCTTCCTGGCCCCGTCATGACCCCTAAGTGGACCCCACCATGACCCCCGAGTGGACCCCTTCCTGGCCCCGTCATGACCCCTAAGTGGACCCCACCATGACCCCCGAGTGGACCCCTTCCTGGCCCCGTCATGACCCCTTCCTGGCCCCATCATGACCCCCGAGTGGACCCCACCATGACCACTGAGCGGACCCCTTCCTGGCCCCATCATGACCCCTTCCTGGCCCCATCATGACCCCCGAGTGGACCCCACCATGACCACTGAGCGGACCCCTTCATGGCCCCATCATGACCCCTGTGCACAGAAAGTGTTTTGCCGCAGGGTGCGCTCGGAGGGCGGTCGGTCAGGATTTGAACCCAGGTCTGTTTTTAAAAGCAGAGCCCGGCTCTGACCGAGGGCCAGGCCTCCTGCTCTGTCCCGGGGGATCAAGGGCCGGAAGGGCGACATGACAGGGACTAGGCTGGGACAGGTCCCCTGGGATGGAGGACAGTCGCCACTTAAGCATGGGGGGAGGACGGCCTGTACCCTGGGAGCCCCCAGGGAGGAGGCCCTGGAGCTGGGGGGTGGCAAGTGTGGGCCTCCGCGGCCGGGACGGAGGCTGGGATCCCGCTGGCTGGCTCAGGTGGGGGTGAGCTGTCTTCGTGGCTCGTCCGGAGCCGCCAGGACCAGCAGGCTGCCTCCTGCGTGACCCTTGGCCTGCCCATTGCGTGCGACCACAGGCGGCCGGCTTTCCGGACCCCAGCTTCATTGCACAAGCTCCTGAGGTCGTCGGCACCGAGGACCCGGTTGCACCACCGAGTTCCCAGCCCAGCTTCCTCTTTGCTCTGTTGACGCCTCATGAGTGGCTCTCTGGGCTGGGAGGGTGTGGACCTCTGAGCCCTTGGCAAGTCCCAGAAGCTGCCTCCTGGGCTCCTGAAATGGGTGGGGAGTGTGCTGAGCCGGGACCGGCCTTGGTTCACCCAGGGCTCAGCCTGTAGGTCTCCGGGGCTCGCCGGTGAATCCTGGGACATGAAACTTCTTGGACCCACTGTGCAAATGGGAAACAGACCCACATGGAGGGAGCAGAAGCCCTAGAAACTTCTTGTCCATGAGCTCATCTGCCCTTTTCTAAAAATCGAAGCAAAATGAACCCAATCATCCAGTAGGACAAGCATCTTCTCCCCTCCTCATAGGGGGAAAACTGGGGTCAAGAGATGTGTCTAGCCTCCAAGCACCCCTGAAATTCCTCTTCCTCTTCCAAAAAGTCCTCCCAGGCTACACCGCCTCGACGGGCCCTCAGCCTCCTTAGGCGACGGGGCGTCCTGCCTACCTGCTGCTACGCCCCCACACTCACAGCTGCCCCACGCCCTCCCCGTCCAGCAGGGGCCCTTTCTGGGCTGCTCGGGGACACTGCGTCCTCTCTCCTCTAATGCAGTGTCTCTGAATGTTCGCTGGTCGCCTCCTTTTCTTCACCTGCAGGAAGGGTGATGGCTTCCCTCGAGGGGTGAGGATGGGGAGACGGCTCATTTGTGAGCCGTGAGCGCCCCCGGCCCGGGCGGGCCCAGGCACTGTGGTCCCCAAACCCTGGGCTCGGAGCCCTCGGGGTGGGCGGGCTGGCCTGCGGCTGAGGCAGGGCAGGTATCACGTGTGGGGCTGGGCCTGACCTCAGCCAAAGGGCTCTCGTTGAGAAAACAGGCTGTGCGGCTCGGCGCAGACAAACCGGCATATGCAGGGGAGGGAAGAAAGGAAAAACGCCGGCGGGCGGGCGGCCTGGAGCCCTGTGTTGGCGGCTGCCCGGCCCCCCAGCTCTGCCCCCAGTGTGGGTCTCACAGAGGCAGAGCCGCCCTGGCTGGACGCCTCACAGCCTGCGGCCTCTCCCGTCTTACGGCGGGTCCTACACATTCTGTGTCTTCATTGTGTCAGTCACACAGTCGTGTCCGACTCTGCGACCCCATGGACATTAGCCCACCAGGCTCCTCTGTCCATGGGGTTCGCCAGGCAAGAATACTGGAGCGGGTAGCCATTCCCTTCTCCAGGGGATCTTCCCAGCCCAGGGATCGAACCCGGGTCTCCTGCATTGCAGGCAGATTCTCAACTGCCTGAGCCACCAGGGAAACCCCTCTATACACACTGTTGTTCAGTCACTGAGCTACATGTCCGATTCTTTGCAGCCCCAGGGACTGCAGCTTGCCAGGTTTCCCTGTCCATCACCATCTCCCAGAGTTTGCTCAGAATTATGTCCGTTGAGTTGGCCTACGTGTAGTGCCGGACAGTAAAGCTGAGTTCACGTTGCCTTGTCCTTTAAAAGGCTGAAGCCTCGTTCAGGCCAGGCCCTGCTCCGGGCTTCTGCAGAGTAATTAGCCAGGCGGCCGCCAGGGGCCCCAGCAGACCCCCACCCCGCCCCCAGCTTCTCCCCAGCTGCCCGTGGGCTCCAGAAACAGGCGGGGCTGCCCCACAAGAGTCTCCCTTTGGGCCCGAGAAGGCCCAGGCCTTGTATCTCCTTTCTCTCATCCCTTTCTCTTGGTTTCGGCTAGTGGGGAGTTTATTGCCCTGAAATACAGGTTCCAGCCCAGGCCTGCCCCTCCCTGCACCTGTCCAGGAGAACTCCTGCTCACCCTCCCCACCCAGGGCACCCACAGAGCGGCTGACTGCCGGCGCCCAGGCTCCGGATCACCCCAAATCCAGCAGCTCCCTCGCAGCTGCTCCAAAACATGCCTCTTCTCATCCACGGTCTCCTTCACCCTGCAGCAGCTCCATGCTCTGTTCCCAGCCCATGGGCAAGACTCTCAGAGCCACAGACTCAGTGATTCACCTGAGGTCCCCTCACTGGGTGGGGCTGCCTCCTCTCGGGGCTCTTCCCCATTCCCTGCCTCCACAGTGAGGCTCCCAGCAAAGCCTGACAGTCTGTCACGGCCTCCCCAAAATCACCTTGACCACTGGCCAGGATCATGACCATGGGCTTGCCCCTGCAGCTGGGTTGTCGGGTACGGGGCCGTCACGCAGCAGACCTGCAGCAGGGCCTGATCCTGTGGGCTGGGAGCCCAGCGGGCCCGGCTGCCTCTCCTAGCCACCCCACCCTGGAACGCCCCGTCCCCTCCCTGGGCTCTGGCTTGGCGACCCCCCATCCTGGCACCTTGGGCTCACCACTCCTCGCCCCAAACCTGCCCCTCCCAGCCCAGACAAGCCCTCTGGCCCCAGCATCTGTTGAGGGTCCTTCTGTACCAACTGCCCTTGAGGAGGACTCCATCCCGAAGACCCCTCACCAGTTCCAACCCACAGCCATGGACCGACGTGTCCACTCTCCACCTCAGGGACCATCCTTAGCTCAGAGCCATACCCGCACCATTTCTGGCCTGCCCAATCGGGCCTTCATATCTCCTGACCTGTCTGGGCCCCCCCACCCTCCAGGCCCATTGGACACTAAGGCCGAGATGCACCCCAAGCCCCCACACCCTCCCCCTGCACCCCTGATGTCTCTCAGCACGCTCACCCCCCACAGCCCCGAGGGTCTCCCCAGACCACACTCTATGGCTGCCTCTTAAAGGGCAACGATGGTGACGAATCCCTGACACCACAGGGCTGGTGGAGGGGGTTGGCAAGCAGGATGGAGTCGAAGCTACTGCAGCAGGGAGGGGTCCCGGAGTCCCCCGGCCTGCAAGCTGGGCCAGGCAGGCCCCACCCCCGCCCAGGTCACCCCACAGGCATAGTGTGTTTTGACAGCTGGGAGGGCCTGGGCCGGCCCCTGACCTGGCCCCGGTTCATTTTTAATTAGTCTTTCTGGAGGCGAACATGGGGAGGAGGCCGAGCAGAGGAAATCACCTCCATCGGGGAGGATAACTCAGCTGGAGGTGGGGGAGCACCCCCCCACCCCCGGGGGGCCATGACCCGGCAGAGGGGGTGGGAGGGGGGAGGAGGGGCTCCGGAGAAGGCTCTGGAATCTGCTGTCCAGCCGGCTGGGATCCAGAACTCCCTCCGCCAAGCTTCCCGAAGATGGGGGGAGGTGGAGCTTCTGTGACCCAAGAAAGAACGTGTCACCACCCCCCCACATCCTCCCCACCACCATCCCTGCTGGCGGGAGAGTGGGGCAGACACATGTGAACAGCTGTGACCCAGCATTTCCTGCTCCTGGCCTGAGGGGCTGGGGAGATAGGGGGCTCTTGGGCTGCACCCCTCCAGCCTCGCTCCCCGGGGCTGGGGCTCTGGAAAGCGGAGGGGGTGGAGCGCTCAGGGGCAGATGCACACAGCCCTCCCCTGACCCCCCACCATCGGCCAGGATGCAGGACACATCAGTGCCTGGGCTGGTGAGGTGGGCGGGATCGGTCTAGAGTCTAGAAGGTGGGTACGCTGTGACAAGTGCTTGGGCCTGCTGTGCCTCGGGCTCCGTGGGGCACACAGGGCTCCCTGCGGGCTGGAGGCCTCTGTGGGGCGTTGGGGGCTCCCCGTGCCGTGCACGTGTACCCTCCCCGGGGAGGGGAGACGTGAGCGCTGTGACCTCTGGCTCCCCGATCTGGGGACGAGGCCGCCAGGCCCTCACTCGCGTATGACACGGAGCCACGCGTGGACCTCTGCCTCCTGCCCTGACTGTGGGGGCAGGACCTGAAGCCGGGTACACATCACCCGCTCCGGACGGAGCCGGCTGGCCCTGCCGTGTCCCCAGGGCCCGAGCCCCAGGCCTCTACCCTTTTCAGGCACCGGCAGGGTGGGTGCAGAGCCCGGGCCCTGCTCACAGCCTGGGGCCAGCCCCCAGAAGGCGAGGAGGCTCATTTTTCGAGGACCCAGAAAGGACCTGTCCTGAAAAGACCCCTCAATTGCCACCTTCTGCTCCCTGCAGATTCCAGCACCCTGGCAGGAGAGGGGTCTGGAAGCGAGTGGAATGGGGTTTAGGTTGACAGGGCCTGGTCCTAGGTTGCTATGTGACCTCGAGTCACCTGTTCTTCCTCTCTGGTTCTTTCTGCACTTGGGTCCAAGGCTGTAGTCTGGGGCCAGGCAGGTCGGTCGGGGGATTTAGGCTGCCTCCTCTTGGTCTCCGGGGATACACCCTTGGCAGCAGGGACCCCCTGCTCTCCACCTCTGAGGCCCTGGCCCATCCCCTCCCGATAGATCCCCCCACCGCCCCCCGCTTTGTCCTCTTGGAGCTCCGCGCCCCCCACGAGCCACTCCCTCTGGGAAGGCCCTTCCTCCCACACATGTTCCAGGCCCACTGACCCCGTCCTCCCCAGAGTGCCTGGCACCCCTCCAGTTCAGTGGGGGTGCTGGCTGCCAACGGGGATCCTGCCCCCTCAAGCCTGGAGCCCCTCAGGTCAGGATGCAGAAGGCACTCGGTCGACACTGAGGTCGTGCGGGAATGGCTTGCTCTGTGGTCCAAACCGAGGCTCAGTGGTCAGCTGGAGGGCTGGACAGGAGGCAGCCACTTCCTGGGCTGGCTGGTGACTCACGGTCCCGTTTCTGGAAAGACTCCCACCCCCTTCCACCCCGACCAGATCCCAGGGCATGGCCCGGCCGCATGGGGGCCAGCTGTGGGGAATGTGGTTGTGATCAGGGGCCGGGGTCTGGGGGGAGGGAAGTGGGAGCCCCCGAGATGCCTGCTGAGACGCCTCCCCCTCCTCGGCCACTGGGCTGGGCTCCCTGGGCTGCCAGGCTGAGACTGAGCTGCCTGGGCCTCTCCAGCTGTTTTTATCCTGAGGATCAAAAAATCCATTCACACTGGGGGTTGGGGGACCCCAGGCTCTGCCCTCAGCCTTTCTAATGCCCAGGACCGCCCGTGGGGCCAGGCCTCCCGGGTCCTGTGTCTCAGAGAGGCTGCAACACAGCTGGGCAGGTTCTGGTCAGGCCTGGACCATCCGGAGGAAACAGGCGGCTGCTAAACCGGGTGGGGCGAGAGGCTGGTTCCCATCAGGCTTCCAGGCCACGGTCTAAATGCCATCTGCTCAGCAGGTCCCTGGAAAAACATCCTTCTGGGAGGGCTCGAGAGGGGCCGGCAGAGGCGAGGTGTGGGGGGCAGGCAAGGAGGGCTCTGGGCAGGCCGGGAGCAGGGCCCAGACCTCCTGAACAAATAGCTCTCTTGACCCACGGCAACTGGAGTGGCCCCCCAACTCCCAAGCCCATTTGGCTCCAGCGGCCACCCACCCTTGTCCGCGGCAGGGGACGCAGCCCTGCGCCTTTGTGTGGAGCCGGGCGCCTCGCCTGGCTGGGGACCCTGCGCATGTCTGTGTCTCAGCAGCGTGATTGGTGTGGAATTCACGTGACGTCCAGTCTGCGCGTTTCAAGTGCACCATTCAGGGTCTTCAGCGTATTCACAAACACGGGCGGCCGTCACCCCGGTCAAGTTTAGGACTTCTTCATCTCCTCCAGGAGAAACCCCTCATCAGGTCGGGGTCCCCCAACCACCACGTGGCCCCCCCACCTCAGCCTCTTTCTGCCCTCCTTGGACTGCTCCGTTCTGGACGTTTCCCGTAAGGGGAAATCATAAGCGATGTGGTCTCTGGGGCTGGCCTCTCGCTGGGCGTGACCTCCCAGGTTGAGCCGCATCTGTCCTCAGTTCTCTTCACGGCTGAGAGACGGTCCACGGACCGGACGTTCCACGTGTAGCTTATCCTTCACCTGTTGACGGACACTCGGCTCTTGGCTGCCGTGAGCCTGTGTGTCCAGGCATCGTGTGGCCATGCAGTCCTTGCGCCTGGGTACATGTCCCCCCCAGGAGTGGCTCGGCTAGGCCATCTGGCAACTCTGCATTTAATCCCTCGAGGAGCTGCCGCCTGATTTCCCAGCAGCTGCCCCATTTCACGTTCCCAGCGTCTAAGGTTCTGATTTCTCCGCCCGCTCGCCAGCCTTCCCCGGATCATCTGGGCTCCTCTCCGGATGTGGACAGCTGAGCTGGCGGCAGGTGTGAGCGTGAGGAGGGCCCGAGACGCAGGCGCACCGGTGTTCACTCGGCGCCCGGGGGCTGGTCCGAGGGGGCTCAGCCCTGGAGGCAGGAGGGCTGAGTCCCCGTTTTCAAGAGCGTGGCTGGGAGAGGCAGCCCGCCTCAAGTAGGGGCGCTCCTATGGGGGCACAGGCCGCCTGGGCCACCCCCTCCCTGGGCGGTGTCCTCCAGGCTTCCGGCCGAGGCAGGAATGCAGGGAGCACAGGTCTGCTCTCTGTCCCCTAGCCCCACGCTTCTCCTGCCCAGGACCTGGAGTTGGCCGATGGGTCTGCAGCCAGAGAGCCTGGAACAAAGAACATCCAGGCGTGAGATCCTGGAGGCCCCTGCTGGCCCCCAGAGCTCCCTGGGCACCGTGGCCAGAACATGAGCAGTGTCCAGCCTGGCCCGCCACCCCAGCTTGCCTCTTCCCGCCCAGGCACCTGTGGACACACACGGGCTGTGGGCCCCGCTCCCCTGCCATCTTCCCCCGCCCTGTGGGAGCCCCCTCCCTGCCCCAGCCCCTGGTGGTCCATGCCTTGCCCACTTGCTGCCCCTGGTGATGCCGGCGAGTGCCGGGAGCACTGGGATGATGGTGCCCAGGCCCCACGCAGGGTTCACAGGGAGCGGCCCTGCCTGGCTTGACTCAGCTGTGGCCCCGCCCCCGTAGGAAATGCCTGTGACCATTTGGGCAGCGCTGTCTGCCCACTTGCTTCCTAGAAACCGCTGTCCCTTCCCCAGGGATCCCCAGAGAGGTGGCAAACAGCCAGATGGACATGCCAGGCACCCTGACCTACTGGGTCCCCAGAAGGCGCCCGAGGTTGTGTGGAGTCACCCAAGCACCAGCTGAGCCTTCTGGCAGGCTCGGGGTGGAAAGTCACTCTGCCCCTCAGCTGCCCCTCAGGTTAGGTTTCAACAGCTCCTCGGGCAAGGCTTCGGGAGGAGGCATCTGGCGCGGGGGTACACCTCGGGGCGGGTAGCGAGGGGCAGTTCCAAACCCCAAATGCCATCAGTTCCTCCCAAGGCGAGACTAGAGCCCCCGGGCTCCTGTGTGTGGAGACAGCAGACTCCTGGGGGTGCAGACCTGTGTGCTTCCAGGCTTGTCGGCGTGGCCAAAATCACCCCAGCTCGGAGCTCTGTGGGGACAGGATGCCCGGGCCACTTGGCTGCCCTGTACCTCATGCGATGCCCGACAGAGCGGACGCTCAGAAGAGCGTTGCCGCGTGAAGGGCCGAGACGTCCAGTGTCCAGGGCTAGGCCCCCACCCCACGGTGTCCCCAAGGTGGCTTCCCTGCAGCGGGGCTGGGCGGTCCCTGCGCCCTCACCTCCAAGCCCCGGGGCCAGCACGTGGTTCAGGGGCCCCTGGGTGTTTGCTGGCAGGAGTCCCTGCAGGGAAAGACCCATGGAGGGGAGAAGGGCCCTGGAAGGGGTGGGCGCGGGTGTTTGGGGCCACTGCCTGCAGAGGGAGAACTGGGGGCTGGGGGGCTGGGACCAGGCCAGCCTGCAGGGGGAGAGGGTGGCCCTGCCCCCAGAGGCCTTGGGGCTCCCACAGTGGTGACGGGGTTGGGATCCGTGCAGGCAAGGAGACCCTGCCCCTCCTCAGGACCCCTCTTCAGAGTGTGGGCGCCGTCAGGCCTGCCCAGCACCAGACCTGACTCCGTCTCTGTGCCCGCTGCCCACGGCTGCCCAAGGGGAAGTCGGTCAACAAATCTTTATGGCCCCCCCAGGAGGAGCCTGTGGGGGGGCTGGGAGCCCCAGGGGGGTGGGCGGAGAGGCCTGACCACACACACCATTTGCTGAGGCTGCTGCCCAGCTGCGAGGCCTCACCCCCCTGCCCACCCCCTGGGAACCGCCTCGGCCCGTTTGGCATTTGTCCCACTGACCAAGGAGACCGGCGGCTTGTTTTCCCAGGGAGCGGGGACAGAGAACGAGAGAGGGGCTGGGGAGCGACTGGGGCGGGCCAGGAGGGGGCCAACGGGCTGCACCCCCAGCCCCCAGGAGGCTGGCCAGCCGCGGGGAGGGGCAGGGCCAGGCCACACCTGCTCCCCTGGCTCAGCTGCCCGGCCCGGGGGAGGGAGGGACAGGTGAGTCAGGAGCAGCCAGGCCCACACGCCGGCAGGCACGGCACAAAGACCCCTTTGAAATCGAGATCAAATGGTCTGGGAAGAGGCAGCGAGTTTCGGGGCCTCTCATGGTATAATGTGGGGGGGGCAGGTGAGGCGGGAGGCGCGCTTCAGAGGCCTGAGGGGTCCTGGGATCTTCCTCCCTCCCCCTTTCTTCCTTCCCCATTTCCTCCCTTCCCTCCTCCCTCCCTCCACCCTCGTCCCTTCCCTCCCTCCGTCCTCCCTCCCTCCTCCCCCCTCCTCCCTCCTCCCCCCTTTCTCCCTTCTTCCTTCCTTCCTCTTCCTCACTGCCCGCCCCCCCCCACCCTCACTGCTTCCCTCCTTCCTGCAGTGGAGTTCTCAAGGGAAGAGTATTTCATCTTAACTGAGCCACCGCTGACTGACCACCTCACGGGCATCCTCAACCACCTCCGTGGGCACCCCGATCCTGGCCCTGGGGGCCACTAGGCTGGAGGCAGCTGGCACCTCCACACACAGGGCCAGGCCAGCAGGCAGCTCTAGGATGGGCAATGTTGGGAGCAACAGAACTTGGAAAGTGCAAGTGGGGTGATGGCTCAGGGCTTGGGGAGGGCTCCTGGGACAGAGCCTGGGAGATCGGCCTGGGAGACCTGATCAGTGCAGAGCAGAGAGGAAATCACCTCCCTCATTCTGAACACTCAGCCTCTATTAGTACCACCGGGTGGGCCTTCACCCCCTGGTACTCCCCCCCCACAGCCAGCTCTGCTTGGCGTGCCCACCCCGGCGTGCCACCCCAGGCCCAGCACTGACATCTACTCCCTTGCAGCCCTGTGGGAACCATCCAGCTGCGTGGCTGGTGGGGGCCTGGCCCGCATCCCACCCCCGGGGTAGGGTCTTTAACGTCTCGGCCTCGCCCACAGGGCCTCCCCAGGTACACACGGCCTCCCTGGCTCATCAGTCGCCCATTCCAGCTGCTTTGATCCCCAGCCTGGGAACCCGGGCTCTGCCTCCCCCACACTCCAGGCATCTCTGGGCACCATGCCCTGAGCCTGGGCCAGGCCCGCCCCTGCCCCTTGACCCCTGCCTCCCTCTCTGGCGTGGCTCTGGCCTGGGGCAGCACTCCCCAGCGCCACCAGCTCAAGGTGGCCACGTGGTCTTAGAGGTGCCATCCTGTGTGTCTCTGGCAAGAGGGTCTGGAGGCAGAGCCTGGGGAAGGGGCAGCCCAGGGCAGAAAACTTGGGATGAGCCAGGGCTCAGAAGAGCCCCAGCGGTGGGGGGTCTGCTGCCTGGGGCTGGGGCCAGACTCCAGAGAGCAGAGCTTCTAGAGGGTGTGTAGCGGGTGCGGCGCTTGCAGGTGGGCACGGAGGGCCAGAGAGGGCCTGGAGCTGGAGAAGCGCTGGGCGTGGGTGTGGGGAACAGGCCAGCCTCCCACCCCCAACTCTCTGGGCCGCAGCGTCCCACCCAGCTAGGGCCAGAGGAGCTGGGGATGCGGCTGGGCTGGGGTCCTGGGCTGAGTGCCTACCCATTTGCACGGGCTGGCAGTCTGGTGAGCTAGGTTACGGCCCGGAGCCCCCAGGGCTCACGGAAGGATGAGGTGCCCTGGGCTGCACCCCCTCCTGCAGCCGGGACGGATGCTCCCAAGGGACCCCACCCCCAGGAGGAGGGAAGACATGAGGACACCCAGAAACTTTCCCTCCCTGCCCAGAGGCCAACGGCCTTTGAAGTGGGAAGGCTTGGGAGCAGGAGGAGAAGGGCCAGGGTATAATTAGAGACGGAGGTTTCACTCTCTCACACTCGCGGGAAGAGCAGCCGCTGATTCCCAGGACGGAGCCTTGCTCCTCAGACAGGACCCTGGGCAGGGTCTCCCGGCTCCACGGCCGCCCTGGCTTCCATCGTGGAGAGGGCAGGTGGTGGGACCTGCTCCCCGAGGACCACCTACCTGTCTCATGATGGAGAAGGGGACCGGGTAGAGCGGGGAGGGGCTCCTGGCAGAGCTCCCCTCCCTGCTGCCGGGGTCTGTTGAGGGGGTGCTGCCTCCATCTCTCAGCGTCTTACCACCTGGGGCCCAGGTCCTGTTTCTAGAACAAAGTGGGGGGAACCCCTGGGGCTTCAGGCAGGAATCATGGTCAAACCCTGCTGAGTGTCGTCCCCAGAGAGCAGGACACTTAGAGGAGACCAGGGCACCGGGGGTGTGCCAGCCACCTCACCCTGGCCAGGGCACAGCTGCCACTGCCCCGCCCTGGGCTGCACCTGGAGGGGTGAGGGCCTGGCCCCCAGCCTCCCATCCAAACCCTGG